TGCTTTTGTCCATGTCAACCTAAGCGAACATGATATCCCCGGGGCCAAAACTGACGTTGAATGTATGGAAGAAGTGATGCACAGCTCAGGCTATGGCTATGCAGGGGACTAGCCGTGTCCTGCAATCGTGCCAAATTGATAAAATTTGGTACGTATGGCGATCCTGATGTTTTCCACGCTGATTTGTTTTCTGAGCCTCCGTGGAGAAATTGCATGGATGACAGAAGATTTCATCCATGATGCATGCCATGGATTCGCCATGGATTGCACAGGCTTTTGAATGGTTTTTGCCAGCTTCTTCTATTTTACTTTTTTAGCCGGTGCCAGCTGTTAGCCATGAGTTCTTTCAGTCTGTTTTTCAAACTGTTCTTAAAAAATTCATTAGTTCTAAGTTTTCTTATTACCACAATCATTTTTTTTGGCTTGTAAAAAGAAACATTGAAGTTTCTTCATATAAACCTTTTAGACTGCTTCCACTCTACTCCAGGTAGAGAATGCCAGGATGGTGATGGTACTTAAAAAAATATTTTTAATATAACGTATCATATAAAACATGTACATACATGCTTCTGTTTACATTTGACAGTGACGGCCATCAAATGTAAACAGAAGCGGCTCAGTGGTTAGTACTGTTGCCTCACAGCAAGAAGGTCCTGGGTTCAATTCCCGGTTGGACCTGGGGTCTTTCTGTGTGGAGTTTGCATGTTCTTCTCATGCTGGCGTGGGTTTTCTCCGTTTACTCCAGTTTCCTCCCACAGACCAAAAACATGCATGTTAGGCTGCCTTCAGGTCCAGGCCTCCCTTGCAAAAGAGATCTGTGATCTCAATGGGATTTGCCTGGTCAAATAAAGGTTAATAAATAATTTGTCCAATTAAAGCCAACTCGTCCACAAGAGTCAAATCCAACGACCATATTTTTTTCTTTGAGTAATCGGCTTTGGAAACTGCATAAACCATATATGTTACATGTAATTGCTATGTGTTGTCATCATTGTATGTTCCTATACAATGATGACATTAGTTCTCTGCATTTAACCCGTCACACATGAAATACACCCAGGTGGAGCAGTGGGCAGCTATGTCCAGTGAATAATTAAAGATTAAGTGTCTTGCTCAGAGACACCACGATATGTGGGCATGGCGAGGAGTCGAACCATGACTTTCTGGTCCCAGGTCGGCTGCCCTACCTCTACACCATCTTGTCTCCCATGAGGCTTGTCAGCATATCGGCCAACACTATTGCAAGTCCCGTAGCAACAAAGCTTCTTAGATACTATTGTTTTGCTGTTGTTCATCAGCACAGACCACAGCTACAGTTCTAATTGTATTGTACTTGAAGTTACACTTGCCTGAGAACTGGGTACTTGCTGACATCACACCTTGCATAGGGAGCTCTTTGTAGTATCTCTGACCAGCACCGTTGGGTTGACAAATCCAAATCCAAGATGTCCACCACCATATATACATCTAAATTGACCATCCTGATCACTTAAAGAAACCATGCTTTCTAGTTTTTATATTGCTTAAAAGTATAGTTTCCTCAAATGACTGGGGTGGCCGAAGATTAATCTGTGGTGGCCAAGGCCACCATTGGCCACACCCTTGTGCCACCATTGCGTCTGGTGGTGGATACAACGTCTACCTCTACTCAAAAACTAGAAACATTTATTCTTCAAATCCCTCAGCGGCGGGGGACATCAGCGTACAACTTGGTAGTTTTTTTTCTGCTTTAATTCTCATAGTTTCCCTCAGTTACTGTCTCGCCTTGACAGACTCACCTGTCAGCCATTTGCAATCACCTCACCTGCTGTCACTTCCAGTCATGCCTCCTGATATATAAAAGCTCCTTGTTGCACTCAGTCTTTGTCAGATCGTCCCCCGTTTTCTGGACTTTCCCTCCTGCACCTTCTCGCTTTTGGATTCAACCTGCTTGGCTGCCTCTCACCTGCTTTGGCTCCGCCCACAAGATGAGATGGTGCTTCTTGACACCAAGTCCCCGTCAGCTCGATGTTTAAAGCCGGTTCTGTTCTATGGCTGACACAGGGTGTCTCGAATCTGACAATGTACGATGAAATCTCAAGACTATCGAGGCTTTCTGGAGCTAAAAGTGCAGCCCAGTTCTTGAGTATGTTCACGTTTAAGTGTTTTGTTGTAAATCTGTGCAAGCTGTCGTTCAAAATCATCTCTAACCCTTTCGACCCGAGCCGCCCACCCTGCACTCTGCTCTGTCGGGGCCTCAGGGTTCAGGCTTAACATCTAGGACCCTCTCAGCGGGACGGGTTTAAAAATAGCTCGTTGAGTTTGAACAGTCGAGGGGCACAAAGAACGCTTTCAGCGTCGCCGCTGATGGAGATGCTCCAGCCTGTCTGTGTCACGCTGTGAACAAAGTCAAGAAAAGGCTTTAGTGGTATAGAAAACAAAACTTGTTCATTTTGAACAGTTAGAAAAACTGGTACTTAGACTCGATTGTAATGGCCATGAAAACGAGTGGAAAACTGTCCTGGACATAGGATTAGTATTTTTTACTAACAAATGGGTGATTTATGGGTGAGACCGAGCTTTATTTTCATATAAAACACAAAGAACTTGATGTTGGAATGAAACTGAATCATGTTACTAATCACTTAAAACAGTGCAGAGAAAGTGTTTAAACATTAATCAATAAAAACAGAAATAACTGGGTCACCTGCTGGGTGGCAGTTTTTATAAAGAGGGACTAACTAGATAACAAGCTCTCCAAATGTAATCACACAATCGCTAATGTGTTTGAGAGGCTTAAATTAGGTACCAATTAGGAATGCTTATCGCCCGCTGCTTTCCATGCCAGAGTTTAGGATTAGTGTAATGAAACTCTAAGAGCGTAATCTTTGAACGCACAGGTTCAGCTGAATAACATTTGGAGTCTATCTTCACCGACACAAAAATGGCTTTAATTCAGTCGCATTTACAGATATTGAGCTGAGCTGTCTGAGATTGAAGTGATCCTACGAGAAAGTCTTCGGGACAACCTTGAAACGGGACGAGTGCGAGACTTTCTGTTGGAACCTGTTATCTTAATTTTGTACCACGTAGCTGGTGAGGAAATATATAAATTGTTAAAGGGATCTCAGAACAGTTGGAACCATAGACCTAATCTGATAAACAATTACCGTATTTTTCACCTATAAGTCGCAGTTTTTTGTATAATTTACATGCCCTGCCACTTGCACACCAAAGCGACATATTTATGGATTTCTTCTCATATTTATAAACCAATTTTTAGCTGAGATATGACCGTTTTCATTCATTCTGATTGAAAATATTGAACACTACCATTTACAGCCGCTAGATGGCACTCGAGTAGTATGGCATGCCGTTGTGTCATGTAATGGGTAAAAGTGGCTATTAATGACACAATTGGCTTGCCATAGCCTGCCACATTCGTTCTGTTTGCTGCTTGGAGCAACCATCCATTATATTTTACCCGCTTCTTCCATTTTGGGTCACGGGGGTCGCTGGTGCCCATGTCCAGCAATCACTGTGGGAGGGGCGGGGTACACCCTGGACGGGTCTCCAGTCCATCACAGGGACACAAAGAGACAAACGAGACAAACAACCATTCGCTCTCTCACTCACACCTAGAGACAATTTAGAGTTACCCATCAGCCTAACATGCATGTTTTTGGTCTGTGGGAGAAAACCAGAGTACCCAGAGAAAACCCACGCATGCACGGAGAGAACATGCAAACTCCACCCATAAAAGCCCCCGGACCGGGATATGAACCAGGGACCTGCTCGCTGAGAGGCAGCAGCTTCAGTTGCGCCACTGTGCTGCCGCTTGGAGCAACCGTCACATCAATTTCATTTCGCTGCGCCGCCCCAGCGAAATGCAGCTGATTTAATCATTAAAGTCCTTTTATTAAGTAAAAGTTCAACAGAGACACACCTTTTCTATAAAGTCGAGCAAACAAATAATTGTTTTTAGGTGTTTATCTTGTTAAGTTTCGAAGAAATGCACAGCGAGTCCTCCAGTGCATGCGCCTACTTCCTTGTATCGGCTTTTAAAATGCAGCTGATTTGACCGTCAGAATGAGACAAAATACGGTAATTCAGCTCTTGAAATGAGACCATAAAAATACTGGAGGTTAGTGTTTATTATTTCTAAAAAGTTAATGATACATACATGTGGCCATTTTATTTACAGCTGCATTCTGGGTAAATGATGTAGACAGGTTGTTCCGGTCTGAGCTCCATTCAGCTTGACCGTTAATTTTAGACGTTATCTGAAGTTCATCTCTTTAATTTGAACCGAAGCGAGTTGACAGAGAGGAGAACAAGAAATGACTCTGCTTTCATGTTAGCTCCAGAGCTAATACATTAATCATCACAAGTTGAGCACATTTGATTGTTTGGAACCATTTATTGTACATTACTAATACAAAATATAACTTTATTGTCACATGTTGTAACTTTTAAGTCATGACTCCTTGTGTTTTAGTCTCCACTAAAACCAATGTACGTCATCGTCCCAGAATGCACTGCACCGGTAAAATAATGGCAACATCCTTGGGTGAAAAATGTAATAAACATATATATTTTCTAAGTAATTATGAGTTTTCATATGTCACAAACAACATATTTTAGTAGAATAGAGAAAGCACACATTAAGACCAGTATGCACAGGTAGTCGGAGATCCCTTTAAGTTAGACTGGGAGCTGGTTTGGCCCAGATAACTCTTGTCTCTCTGAGTGGTCCTTACTGAATCATGCACCACGACTCATGGATGATTGTTCAGGGCTGCGATCGAGCCCAACCCCAGGAAACTCAAACAATGAGGTTTGTTTCTCTGAGCTGGGCAGTGATGTCAGATCGTGAAGCTGTTCCCAATCAGAAATAATGAATGTGTTATAAATTAATGTGTGCTCGTTAACTCCCCTTTGTTTTCATCCTATTGAATCTGCTCTGAAGGAGAACGAAATAATTCAGCAACTCTGCTTTGATCTCCCTTTGTTTTTTGCAGCTTGAAATCTTTGGTGTCGACAGGAGGCAAAAATGTCCAGGCGGCGTGTGACTGGTGAGAGCAACACACACACATTCCCTCAGGAGTCAAACAGGAAGTCAAACATTATGATAAACATCAACTGGTTGAACGTTACTGACCTCTGCTGGACGTATTCCCGTCGTCTCCACCAGGCTCTTCTCCCACTTGGACGACCCCTTCCTGGACGACCCCCTACCCAGAGAGTACGTGCTGTACCTGCGACCCAGTGGACCTCTGCTGCAGCAGCTCACAAACTTCTGGAAGCAGTCCCGCCTGTCCTGCGGCAAGAACAAGGCCCACAACATCTTCCCACACATCACCCTCTGCCAGTTCTTCATGGTCAGCTTTTTGTAGATTTTGTCTTGTGTTGTGATGATCTCTAAAGGGACTTGTTGTCGCGCCGACGTGCATCACAGACGTCCCCTCCCTGTAAAAGAGAAGTGGCCACAACTTTCAGCTTAGCTGCACTGGTTCACCTCAGTTTTCAAATCCCTGCTTCTCTGTTTCACCTGAGAGCAGGAGTTCCCCTTTGAGAGTGCAGTTTATCGATGTTTACGTTGGAAACAAAGCGACATGAGCAGATTTAAAACATGAACAAGTGCCTTTTTTGCTTATGACCTTTTGTGTATCCCACAACATTTAGACTTAAAGTTGGCCTCCTGGAGCCTCATGGGGCTCCTTGTAACTTTGACCAAAAATGACACGAATCTGTCATTTTTAAATTAAATTGACTCCAGGAAACATTAGTTATCAGCCTGGAGACGAAGGATTTAGAGTTAATGTTTCTGCCTGTGTCTGTGTTGGTCTGTTAGCAAAATATCTCTGAAACACTCAGAATTAAGACAGAATTATCTGCATTATTTCAAACGGGAAATTTTAATTTTCTTCTAAGGAACTATATATTTTTTCCACTTTATCCTAAAAATAGAAAAAAGTGCCACAAAAGCTGTTGTCTTAATTCTAAATGGATTTTGTGCTCTTTGCGAAAAAAGGTTCCTTTTGCAAATTAGGTTACCATGTCAAAATCCAAGATGGCTGCCTCCATATATGTATATGTGTGAACCCAACAATTTTCAGTCAGGTCATCTGGACAGTTTCTTTTTTTTTTTTGTGTGCTGAAAAATTTCACCTTCCATCCAGAAGGCTTCATCAGTCAAGGAAACACACAACACAAAACAGATTCTTCCCCCAACAGCTTACTCCAAAGTGGAACAAACCAGTTAGGTTGGTGCTAAGATGGTGTCTTTGGCACGCTCCCTCCTCCGGTGTCGGCCCTCTTCCTCATCGACAGTTATGTCAAACTGGTTCAAAACCAACAAAGTCCATGCTCAAGTCCATGTTGAATTGTATAACTGGATTATTGATTCGTCTTAGCACCAACATAACTGATTTTTTCCACTTTGGAGTAAGCTGTTGGGGGAAGAATCAGTTTTGTGTTGTGTGTTTCCTTGACTGATGAAGCGTTCTGGATGGAAGGTGAAACGTTTCAGCACAAAAACAATAAAAAAAAAAAGAAACTGTCCAGATGACCTGACTGAAAATTGTTGGACTGTATACTTGAATTATTGAGCATGGACTTGTTTGGTATATGTGTGAACCTTGTGAGCAAGATAACTTGAAAAATGAGCAATGAGCTGACTTACATTTTGGTGTGTGGCTGCATCTAGGTGTACTGGGTGCATCTAGGGTTGCCATGTCACCAAGATGGCCACCGTCATATATACAGTATATATGTAGACCAGCCCCCCCTCCCCCCAATCATGAGAAAACTGTACTTTTTAGTTATTATATTGCTTTAATGTAGTTTCCTAAAATGACTGGGGTGGCCAAAGATAAGACTATGGTGACCAAGGCCACCATTGGCCACCCCCTAGATTTGCCCTTGGTGGTGAATAAAATTGCCCTTGATCAGTCACCCTGTGCCGCCTCGGACTAGAAAAGCAAGCAAACAAAATTAAACAGAAAAAACTACCTCTATTCAGAAACTACAAACAGTATGAAACCCCTCAGCGTACTGTTTGTTAGTACTGGTAAGTTTTGGTCCTTTTGCTGCTGATGAAACTTCTCTCTGACAGAAAGAACGTATAAATCTACAGCAGCCGATCTCCTTTAAGCCCTTTAACACCTCGTGTCGACTTCTTTTAATATTGTTGCCTATTTTGTTTTTCCACCCAGTGTCCAGACGACAAAGTGGAGGCTCTCTCCGACGCTCTCCAGAGCACCATGGCCAAATGGAAGGGTCGCATCCCTATGCCCCTCCCCCTGGAGCGCTACATCTCCTCAACCTTCATCGGCCTCTTCGTGGAGGAGCAGATGGCGGAGGTTTTGAAGAGTTTTGCTTCGGATTTTGCCACCGAAGCAGAATCTAAAGCAGGTTTGTGTCTTTTTGCCACAGTAAACACCTTTCGAGCTCTCAACAACATCTCCAGAAAGGATATCAATACTTTGGCTCCATCTCTTTCTCTCATCCAGATGTTCACGTTGAGCCCCACAAGAAGCAGCTTCATGTCACCTTGGCGTACCACTTTCACGACAGTCACCTTCCACTTCTGGAGAAGCAGGCCAAAACCATAGACGTATCTTCAGGCTGCGACTGGCTGGCGGTGCTCCTCTCCAGAGATATTCGCTTTGCTAATCACGAGGTACACTGTTCCCTTTAATACATCTGTATACAGTAGTCTTTCAGTTATCGCCGGGATTACGTTTTGGACTACCTGTATAAATAAAGGGTAAATGAAAAAAAAAAAAAAATCTATATATCTATATATATCTCAGGTAGGGTTTCGACCCATATATTGTGCATAAAGACTACTACAAAATGTAACTTGTTTGTCATATTGGATACGCTGGTGAAGATTCATATTCATATTTGATGACCCCCCCACCACCACAATAAGTGAAAATCCGTGAAGTAGGAACACACATGTACTCACCAGCTCTGCAGAACAGCAGCAGCTCGGTTCCGGTCGGTTGGGCTCAGTTTCGGTTCTGCAGGGCTACTCTGCCGGTTCTGCTCTGGTTCTGGTCCGGTTCTGTGCAGCCCTTGAGCACCAAAATGTTAGAACGCCGGACCTCCAGGCAGCGCCTCCCCCGCTCGGGAGGCTTCGTGGACCGGCGTGCGTCACTCAAGTTGACTGATGAGTGGCGGTCCGGTTCTGGTCCGGTTCTGGTCCGGTTCTCGGTCAGTTCCGTGCGGCTCTCTGCATCCGCTGTGCGCCGAAGTCACTATGAATAAGGACCGAAATTTTTCGGATCTGATCAGAACTTTACCTCTATTTCAGCAGAAGGCAACAGGGTTTTTGGGCGGGGCACTGTTGGCTTCTGGGAAATGTAGTCGCTTTGAGTGGTGAAAACTACAAAACGGCGGAGCCTGTCCAAAGTATTTTTTTTCTTTTTAAACTTTTTACTGTATCCCGTACTGTCCCAATCATGTGAGTAATATTAAAGTTGACAATTGTGTCGTGTACAATCTTACTTTGAAAAACTGCAAAAGAGCAAGTTCGCAAAAGTTGAACCACAAAATAGCAATCGACTACTGTATATGAATTGACCCACTCCCATAATGACTGTTAACTGTTAACTATCTCTCTCTACCCCCCCCCCCCTCCCCCCCACTGCAGACGCTTCAAGTGATGTACCCGTATGTGCCTCAGAATGACGACGAGCTGGAGCTGCTGCAGGGAGACTTCATCTTCACGTCTCCAGTGGAGCAGAGCACTGCCAGCGAGGGCTGGGTGTATGGCACGTCACTGGGCACCGGGCTGTCCGGCCTGCTGCCCGAGAACTACGTCAGCCGGGCGGACGAGTCGGACACGTGGGTCGTCCACGGGTGAGGAGGGGGAGAGCAGCATGTACTTCCTGTCATTTGGAGCCCTGAGACTAAAGAAAGCTGTTTTGTGTTTTTGCCAGGTCTTACTCGTTTCTCAACTGTGCCTCTCCGTCTGCCTCTGGTAGCTCGGTGGGTGGGCTGTTACTGGATGGACAGTCCAACGACAGTCTGCTGGACAGTCTCATGGACATGTCCAGCCTCACCGGCCTCTGTCCTCCCATGCAGGTGCATCATCGCAGAAACATTTTAGTCAGGCTGCCTGCTTTAGAGCGAGTTTAAAAAACAAATGTGCAGCCTAATATAAGAGCTGCGTGTGTGTCTTAGGTGTCGAGGCCGACCGGTGCGCCCTCGCTGTCCAAGATGAGGCTGTTTGTGTGTCGTCACGGCGAGCGGATGGATGTGGTGTTTGGCAAACACTGGGTCACTCAGTGCTTCGATCCCAAAGGTCAGAACATCACAGTTGATGCATTTTATTTTACTTTTTGTTTCGTTTTGCTGTTAATGATGACTCAGTTTGTGCCTGCGCAGGTCGTTACATCCGTTCTAATCTCAACATGCCACCCAGTCTACCAGCCAGGAGCGGCGGTCACCGGGACTACGATAAAGATTGTCCAATCACTGTGTTTGGTTCCACCCAGGCCCGTCTAGTAGGTCCGTAGGTCTCGTTTTAGATTGACGAATGCTAACGCGCTGCAGGTTCTTGTGGATTGCTAAATATGGACGAAATTGTTTCCAAAAATGTGTATAAATGAGACGCACGTCTGTGTTCTGTCCCTTTCCAGGTGAAGCTCTGTTAGAAAGCCACACGACGATAAATTTTGTTTACTGCTCTCCGTCTCTTCGCTGCATCCAGACGGCTCAGCACATTCTGCAGGGTAGGACCTCATTTGCCTCAGACCACACGTTTGCATCGAGCATGTAAATTGTGTTCTTCAGCTTCGGCTGATGTTGAGGATGTCTGGTGCTGAGGCGCTGACATCAGGAGTGTTCGTCTGTTTGGAACCATGCACCTCTTAAACATGGCGGTCAGGACATTCTGACACTTTGACATCAAAACAAAAATTTGAAAACATGATTTATTTACTGCCGCTGCTTAAACAGTAATAGTGTAATAACGTCCAAGGTATTATTTATAGCTATTTTAATTCTAGTTCACAGATATAAACAAGAACACAAGTGAACATCACTCTGTCTCAGCTTTTTCATGAAGATTTTACACCAATTTGTAATCAGCCCTTTTTTTAAAATTAAAACAGTTTTATTTGCAATGATATTCAAGAGTAAGGCTGAATTTTGTATAAAAAGTTTTTCGCCGATGGTTTTGAATTTTTTTTCTATAAACAGATTTTAGAGGACAGTACGGACATGTCACTGTAGGCGTCTGCGCTCCCACCCTGATTCATCCAAAGACAAAGTCTGTTTCCCTTAAGAGACAGGAAGACAAAACACCCGTCGTCATCTTTTCTGTGAGCTGCACAAAATGTCCGACTGAAACTAAACTACATCCCCAGATCAGTTTATTTATAATTCTGAGGTAATTGTGCGTGTTGCGCGTGTGATTCTGCTGTTCTGCCCTTTGTGAAGTAACTGACACTGTGATGGGCCCATGTTTGGTAAGGTGGTTTGTTTCACATGCTAACATGCTAACTCTGCAGCTTGTTGCAAACAATTGCTTCAAAACCTGCGTTACCTTTAAAAATAGAGATGGGTGTTGCTGATCTGGTAGACGCCACGACTTTATTATCCACTACAAGTTAAAATGTTCAACCAACCGACATGTCTTTTGATCGGATTGTTGAAAGGTGGACGTATTGTGGTATAGTCTGTCCATACAGACTTAAACTTTCTCTTATGTTGGAAGCTCCAAAAATACAGGTGCTGGTCATAAAATTAGAATATCATGAAAAAGTTGATTTATTGCAGTAATTCCATTCAAAAAGTGAAACTTGTATATTATATTCATTCATTACACACAGACTGATATTTCAAATGTTTATTTCTTTAAATGTTGATGATTATAACTGACAACTAATGAAAACCCCGAATTCAGTATCTCAGAAAATTAGAATATTGTGAAAAGGTTCAATATTGAAGACACCTAGTGTCACACTCTAATCAGCTAATTAACTCAATACACTTGCAAAGGCCTTCAAATGGTCTCAGTCTAGTTCTATAGGCTACACAATCATGGGGAAGACTGCTGACTTGACAGTTGTCCTAACAACGACTATTGACACCTTGCACAAGGAGGGCAAGACACAAAAGGTCATTGCTAAAGAGGCTGGCTGTTCACAGAGCTCTGTGTCCAAGCACATTAATAGAGAGGTGAAGGGAAGGAAAAGATGTGGTAAAAAAATTATACAAGCAATAGAGATAACTGCACCCTGGAGAGGATTGTGAAACAAAACCTATTCCAAAATATGAGGGAGATTCACAAAGAGTGGACTGCAGCTGGAGTCAGTCCTTCAAGAACCACCACGCACAGACATATGCAAGACACGAGTTTCAGCTGTCGCATTTCTTGTGTCAAGCCGCTCTTGAACAAGAGACAGTGTCAGAAGCGTCTCGCCTGGGACTGCTGCTGAGTGGTCCAAAGTTATGTTCTCTGATGCAAGTAAATTTTGTATTTCCTTTGGAAATCAAGGTCTCAGAGTCTAGAGGAAGAGAGGAGGAACAGAATCCACATTGCTTGAGGTCCAGTGGGGCCATGTCATCTGCTGGTGTTGGTCCATTGTGTTTTCTGAGGTCCAAGGTCAACGCAGCTGTCTACCCGGATGTTTTAGATCACTTCATGCTTCTTGCTGCTGACCAACTTTATGAAGATGCAGATTTCATTTTCCAACAGGACTTGGCACCTGCACACAGTGCCAAAGTTACAGTACCTGGTTTAAGAACCATGATATCCCTGTTCTTAATTGGCCAACAAACTCGCCTGACTTTAACCCCACAGAAAATCTATGAGGTATTGTGAAGAGGAAGATGTGATACATCAGACTCAACAATTCAGAAGAGCTGAAGGCCACTATCAGAGCAACCTGGGCTCATAACACCTGAGCAGTGACACAGACTGATCAACTCTATGCCACGCTGCATTGATGCAGCAATCCAGGCAAAAGGAGCCCCAACTAAGTATTGAGTGATGTACATGTTCATACTTTTCATGTTCATACTTTTCAGTTGGCCAACATTTCTAAAAATCCTTTTTTTTAATTTGTCTTAAGTAATATTCTAATGTTCTGAGATACTGAATTTGGGGTTTTCGTTAATTGTCAGTTATAATCATCAACATTAAAAGAAATAAACGTTTGAAATATATCAGTCTTTGTGTAATGAATGAATATGATATACAAGTTTCACTTTTTGAATGGAATTACTGCAATAAATCAACTTTTTCATGATATTCTAATTTTATGACCATCAGTTGTAGCGCCGCGGACCAATGACGAGGTCCAGCTCTTTCTGTCTTTATTGGCGGATCAGAGGATTCAGCGAGAGCTGAATGACGCTACAAGAAATGAGCGAATTTACCGTGAGAAATTGGAGATGATGGCGCAGCATGGCTACACCCGGACCTTTAAGCAGTGCCGGGATAAGCTAAAGAAACTGAAGTCAGGTTACAGTTATGATTCTGCCCACAGAGAGGGGAAACAAGCCACGGTGAAAATTCACCCACACCTGAGAAGAACCGATAAGACGAGAACCGTACTTATCAACGGCAAAGTGGCTCTTACGATTTTACCATGCTTAGTGGTACCAACAGATCTTTTTCAAATGTAACTTTATCTCTTTCTCTTTTTAAATCTGTGTCAGGTCTCCAGCAGGAGGCCAAGACAAAGATCCGTGTGGAGCCCGGTTTGTTTGAATGGACCAAATGGGTTTCAGGCACGTGTTTACCCACCTGGATCCCGCCGGCTGAGCTGGCGGTTGCTAACCTGAGCGTGGACACAACCTACAGGTACACAGTGTTGCTAACGCTGCTGCAGTTTATCCATGAAGCTGTGATATGATTTCATTCCCTGTATTGATCTTTTCACCCCCAGACCTCATTTTCCTGTGAGTAAGCTGACCGTGTCAGAGTCCTACGACACCTACATCAGCAGGAGCTTCCAAGTGACCCGAGAGATTCTAACGGAGTGCAAAAGTCAGGGTAAAGTAGAACTCAACAAGTATACAAGGTTTCAGCTTAGCTAAACTCAAAATATTTGAAACATTTATCATCAAAAACATCTTTCTTATTGAAATGTTTAAAAATGTATTGATTTTTGTTAAAGGGATCTCCGACTACCTGCACCTATTGGCCTTAATGTGTTATTTCTCTATTCTACTAAAAGTTGTTGTTTGTAACACATGAAAACTCCTAATCACTTTTTTTTGTGTGTGTTTATTAATTTTATTCACCCAAGGACTTAACCATTGTTTTACTAGCACAATGCATTCTGGGGCGATGATGTACATCAGTTGTAGTGGAGACTAAAACACAAGGAGCCAAGGCTTAAAAGTTATAACGTGGCAATAAAGTTAACGGTATATATTTTTTAGTCCTTATGCACAATAAATGGGTAAAAACGATCCAACGTGATGAACTTGTGATGTTTAATGTATTAGCTCTGGAGCTAACGTCATATTAGCTTTGGATCAAATGCTATTAGCTGTGGGAATAATTATATAAATATTAGCTGCAGCGCTAATGCTATTAGCTCTAGAGCTAACATCATATACAGTATATTAATTCAGGAGCTAACATCACATATATTAGCTCTGGAGCTAATGTCATATTAGCTTTGGATCGAATGCTATTAGCTATGGGGCTAATGATTTAAATATTAGCTGCAACATAAATGCTATTAGCTCCAGCGCTAACATCCTATACTGTATATCAATTCAGGAGCTAACGTCACATATATTAGCTCTGGAGCTAATGTCATATTAGCTTTGGATCGAATGGTATTAGCTGTGGGGCTAATGACTTAAATATTAGCTGCAACACTAATGCTATTAGCTCCAGAGCTAACATCATATATTAGCTCTGATGCTAACTTCATATATATTAGCACTGGAGCTAATGTGAAAGCTGAGTCACTTGTTATTCTCCCCTCTTGTCATTGTTTTCTGGTTCAAATTAATGAACTGAGCATCAGATAATCTCCAAAATTAACATTCAAGCTGAATGAGCTCGCACCAAAGCAACCTGTCTACATCATTTACCCAGAATGCATTGCAACATGAATAAAATGGCAACATCCATGTGTCAATAACTTAAAAAAACAACAGCCAAAAAAAACAGCCTTCAGTATTTTTAGTCTTGTTTTTATAGCTGAAGTTATCACATTATTGTTACAACTTGTCGGAGATCACTTAAAAAACACACACAAGCTGCTAAAATATACATTTACACTTGGACTAAAGATGCACTGAAACTTAGAAACCATATGATGACAAAAACGAATAAGCAGCAACTGAGTCCATAAAGTAGAAGCTTGTGGTATTTATGGAATGCGCCTCGATGCTTTCTACCTCTTTCACACAGGAAATACGGTCCTGATCGTGGCCCATGCTTCCTCCCTGGAGGCCTGTACTCGGCAGTTACAAGGCCTCAGTCCTCAAAACTCCAAGGACTTTGTCCAAGTTGTCCGAAAGGTCGTTTTCTCCGCTCTTTTCATTTCCACAGTTCCCATCAATTGTTCTTTCTTTTTTGTGTTTGTTTTTTAATGCGCACATCTGTCTGCCTTGTTCCCAGATCCCTTATTTAGGTTTTTGTGCTTGTGAAGAAATGGGAGAGACAGGCGTGTGGCAGCTGGTCGACCCCCCCATCTTGCCTCTGACACATGGACCCAATCACAGCTTCAACTGGAGGGAAATGCTAACGCAAGACTGAAGGAATATGCTGTTTTCGCCTAAATATTATTTATTTTTTTTCCCTTGACATTTCACTCAAACTATTGAAAGGACAAAGAGAATCACAACCTGGCTTCCATCTAAGACACCATGCAAAAATAAATGAAGGAATAAATAAAAGTCTGTATATAATATGGGCTAATGTATTTAGACGCACTGCTCAGGAAGAAGGAAAACGTCTTTGTGGAGTTCACGTATGCAGTTTGGATACTTGTCTTTTAGCGTGCTAAGAATATGCAGATGCTGCAGAGGATTTGGATATTTAAGAAATGTGACAAACTTTTTTTTTTTTTTGTCTGAAGAACGAACTCTGCGACCCTTCTTTAGCAGACAGGAAGTGAAATCTGCTGCTTTCTCACACACTGTGACAAAAATTAACTAAGAAGGACTTGTGCCACAGAAATATTTTTCCACGCGTCGGAAATGATTATCTTGTAGCGACAACCCCACAACCCCCGTCTTCTGGGGAAAGAAAGCACAAAAAGAAAGGCTGACAATCAAAACAGTGGCGCACTGACCACCATTGTTTCTGTTGCTGCGGTTTGGTAAATTGTTACACGTCTTTTACTCGAGTGTCATATCATTTTCTTCTACTTTAATGGAAATTTTAACACGCGTGAAAACCGCAGTATAAAAAATTAATCAGGAAACGACCCAGCTGACAAGATGACATGATAATAACTTACAGAATAATAAACTCCAGGTGCCTCCTTAAAAGTTTTAATTGTTTATCATGAACTGAATGCTCTGTCAACCCTAAAACTGCTCCGCTTTTCAAATATTTGGTGCATTTCATGTTTTTTTTTTTTTTTTTGTTTTAACGAAGGATTTATTTGTTCTCTGCTTCAACCAGTTATTTACTCTATATAACTGAAAATTCATACTCTATAAACAAATAAAGCAACGTTCTTGAGCTTTACTTTAGTATTGTGTGCACAAACAAGGCTTTCTTTATCATGTTAGTAAAAGGTAAGAATGTTGCAAGAAAGTTTTCTTTCTTCTTAAAACGTCTTCCTGACATGTCAAAACTGGAATAGCACAAGTTCGAATGAATATTAACGTGTGGTGTAGTTATAATCATAATTTCAGCACAATTCCTTTTTTTTTTTTTTTTTATCAAACTGCTGTTTGCTTATTTACATTTTAAAATGGCTGAAATAGAAGAGCTAACATTTTGACTTTCTATTAATGGTCAGGCTGGCTTGCTAAGCTAACTGAAAAAAATAAGCTAACAAACATGGCTAAGCTATTAGCTAACACAACTATGCTAATGCTATCAGTAAGCTAACAAACAGCTAACTAAAAAAACACGCTAAGCTAACATGGCAAAGCTAACCATAGATGCATTTGTCTATGAAGGTAACTATCGGTAAGCTAACACATACAGCTAAGTTACCAAATAGTAAGCTAACAAAAGCAACTAAGCCAACTAAAAAAATAAGCTAACACAGCTAAGCCAACAAAAATTAAGCTAACAAACACAGCTAAGCTAACTTTCAGAACGCTAACAAACATGGCTAAGCTATCAATTAGCTAACAAGCACAGTTAAACTAACTTCAAATGATTTTGTAACATGCTTTTTTGTTGTAATTTTCATGTGAAATATTTTAGGTTTATTGTATAATACTTTTTAAAAGCCCCAAGACGTCTTAACTGTTGTATGTGAGGGATTTTTAACTAAGCAGTAAGGTCAGAGTTCAGAAGTCAAGGTCAGGCCGGAAGTTAGTGTAATAATTTTTCGCGCCTTTACTGTCGACAGCTACCCAGAGGAAAAGTTTTTGTCACCGTAAGAAACTCAAAAAGCAGAAGTGGAAAGAACATTAGCCCAAATAATTTTCAAAAAAATAGGTAAGTAAAAAACAAAATGAGCTGGTTATTTTTCCTCTGAAATGTCGTTTAAAGAGCCGTCAGGAGCAAATGGGAATGAATTTAAGGTTTCTGACCGAGTTGAGTTTGTCTTGTGGAGGTTGCTGATGATCCACAAACCTAAAATTAACTTCACATTAAATATTAATCGTGTATTGTTACCAGAATTATTCAGAGCGGTGCAGCTGTAATCATAAATGGATAAAAAAAAATAGTACCTAAACCGGCAACAGTTTTTTCAGTAATTTTTAATTTTTTAGGTCAAGCTGGTAAGTTCGGGAACTCCTGATGTATTCTAAAATTTGTTTTGACTAAAGCTATAACTTTTTAAACTTTTAACTAAAATAGCTTTAATCCAAATCCCTTAAGTGTGCAAACCCTTAACATTGTCTTGTAAAACTTTAGCAAAGATAACATTTTTAGTTAATGTAATAAAACTTTATAGCAAAGCTCAGCTAAATATTTTTTTCCTCCACCAATGTATCAGAACATAAGAAAAAGGTGAATTCAAAACTTGAGAGAATTGGGAGTTATCTTTGACTCTACAGTTCTCAGTCATTGGAAATGAGAAAAAGGCAGAACAAATATGATGGTTTGAAAGCATATTTAGGACAGGGCCACTAAGTAGGGAGGCAATGCCACCTCCAAGCAAACGATGTCCCCTCCTTGGCCAGACGGTTTTATCCTCTTGAGTCCCAAGGTTTTGCGAGGCCCAGACATCTCTTTCCACAGCCACCTCTTCCAGCTCTTCTGGGAGGATTCCAAGGCGTTCCATAGTCTCTCCAGTGTGTCCTGGGTCTTCCCCGCGGTCTCCTCCCAGTCGAACATGCCCGAAGCACCTCTCTAGGGAGACGCCCAGGGAGCATCCTTACCAGATGCCCGAACCACCTCAACTGGCTCCTCGACGTGGAGGAGTAGCGGTTCTACTCCGAGTCTCCGCCTGTATTCGCGATCTCATTCTTTTGGTGACTACCCAGAGCTCATGACCATAGGTGAGGGTAGGAACGTAGACCGACCGGTAAACGGAGAGCTTTGCCTTACATCTCAGCTCTCTCTAAAAATTAAGAGAGGGCAAGCTTCAATGAGCTGATTAGTGATCATGCTTGTCTCAATAAGTAATATCCATCCATTATCTTTTACTCGCTTCTTCCATTTTGGGTCACGGGGGTCGCCGGTGCCCATGTCCAGCAATAAGTAATATCATCTGTAAATAAAAAATAAAACTAAAGTAGACAGATGTATATCAGAAGGTGATTCTCTAACTCCTGTGCCACTACTGCCCAGAAAGACTTTTGTCTCTGAAAAGAATGGGGCAGAATGGCCTGGGTTGATGCTGCGTAAAGAGAATAAAAACACTACAAATAACGTCTTTTTAACTCTTAAAACCAGGTTAGAAATGAATTCTTGTTGGCACAGCGATGGAGGCCTGTTATATCACACACCTCTGGTGCATGCAGGAAGAGCACCAGATGGTGCCGTTGACTAATGTCTGCAGCAACCAGCAGATTGTCAACTTTTTCATGTCTTGTGCTTTATAATGTATTCAATTTTTTTTATCCACTTGTTAAATTCTTAAACTTAAAACTTAATTTGCCTGTGGTTTTACTTTTATGCAGGGTTCTGTGCACTAAATTCAGGAGGAATGATGTTTTTTTTTTTTACCTTGTACGGCTTATTGTTGATGTAGGAATACTTCCAATGAAAGTATTTTTACTCCTTCATAAAAAGGGCCGATAAAAGGGGATTGCGATGGTTTTCTTAACATTTGAAGGCAGCACAGATAAGGCTTTGCACTCAGTTCTTTCTCAGCTGACCAGGGTCGGTCCCTCGATTACATCTTTTAAAAAAACGATTCCAGTTTAAGAAACATTAGGAGAAAAAGGTTTGTTTGCTGCTCATAGGCTCACGATGCATTTGACGTATCTTTTATTGTTGCTGATCGTTCTTTTCAGAGAGAATACATTGAGCACATGAACAGCAGATATCACTTTGCTTTAAATTACAAACCAAGATGTTTATTTTTTATAATAACACATTTAAAGTATTGTCTAAACTTAATATATTTAAACAAAACCTAAAATATGAAGCTAGCTCGGGACACTTAGCCAGTGACACAATTTACTTTCTAAAACCAATGATGACAATCAGAATAATTAAAAAAAATAGCTTTTGGAGTTTGTCAGCTTATTCATGTCTTTGAGTAAATTAAAGCTGCCTCACTATAATTGTTGAGCTTCACGTTTATTTAAAATGCTATGAAACGCATTTTGTCCTGGCTCTTTCTTAATATTTAAAAGTATGAATTAATGTAAACAGTTAAAATTAAAGAATAGATAAATGGTTCAAATTCACTAAACCAGATTAAGATAATTTACTTGCAATAAAATATTAATTTTAAATGTGTCTGAAACTTTTCAAGCTTTTAAATGTAACTTGGATTCCTGAAATTAGGTTGTGGAATTATTTTAAAAAATCCTTTTTAGCTAAATCCTACATCAGGGTAGATTCCTCCGTCTTTGTTATCAGACACCTGAGCAGGTGCAGGCTCCTCGTTGGCCGTAACGACACAAACCAAACGGAGGTCAAATCTTTGAGTTTATAAATCTGTGTTGAAGCCAACGTCTGAGGCTCCAAATCCTGAAACACGGAGGAAGCGATGTAGAAAGTCCGACTCAAAGGGCATGAAACAGCAGGACGTCCTGCTTCATGTGACCGTGGTGCGACGCGACTCGTGTTCATTTTAAAGTTCATTTTTACTCGTAACGGTTTAATTTCATTACCTTGAATTGAAGAAAAACTCAGTTTTTTTGTAGATGGAAGGTCATTCAGCACCAGCTGTTCTCTCTGGTAGGAAACAAGCCAATCTAATGTGGGAACTTTCATTATTTATTTATTTGTAAAACAAGCTTTTGTCAGTAAAAATGACAGTTGGATCAGTTTTTGACCTTCGAACCACGGCAATGTGAAACCATTCTGGATTCAGCGTCAGTGACGGACAAGAGAGGGAAAAGTGACATTATTTAGTGACTTGCAGTGAAGAGAAATGTTTCAACACGCTTTAACTGGCCTGTTAAGCAAACCAGCATTTTACTTGGCGATGCTTAATGGTTTTTATTGTTGCTGACAGGGTTTGTGGTGACGATCGTCCCCTTCAGCTGGTCAACAACCGAGCCCCTGATCACTGAGACCCTCACACTGTATTAAAAAACTGTAGAGTCAAACAGAGACCTTCACCAAGCAGAGTCTTGACTGAACGAGACAGATGTGGGCAACATGTGGCTCGAGGGCCAGAGGTGGCCCTTGGACAATCTCCATCCAGCTCCCAATACTCTGAATTGAAACAAAAACAACCTTTAAATAATCAAAGCTCATGTTCAATAATCCAGGTAAAAAAATCCAACAAAGTTGGTCAGGTCCTCTGGATGGTTTCTTTTTTTTTTTTTTTTTTTTTAGGTGTTTCAGCCTTCATCCAAAGGACTTCATCAGTCTGAGGAGCCACAACAAACTCAGTTGCCTCAGAGGAGTCGATGGAGGAGAAGGCATGCTCAGAAACCATCTTATCATTATCAAACTGGTTGGCCCACTATGTGAGTGCTGCTTGTGGGATTGAGTTTGTTGTGGCTCCTCAGACTGACGAAGTCCTTTGGATGAAGGACGAAACGTTTCAACAACAAAAATGAAAAAATAGACTGTCCAGCTGACCTGCCTGAACTTTGTTAAACCTTTAAATAAGTTGCTGAACACTGGCGTTCTGTCAGTGAAACTTTAGGAAGTTGAAATTAACCATCTTGGACAAAAACATCAAAACCTCTGGATTAAGATAAACTG